AAAGGAATAAAATTGATAATTTTTTTTGGAAAAAAGAATTGTGGTGATTATGTACCCGAAAATGTTTCCAAACCAATCACGTCTAAAATTTCATCAAATCCAATACTGAAACGTTATATTTTGGAAATGAAGTTGGAAGTTTATACGGCGAGTAATCACCAGGATTAATTATTCATTAGTAAATTTAATGCTCCTAGTGCGCGAAAAATCTTTAATTTTCTGCCATTAGAGTATTCAAGTTATGTGGCACTCCATAGTGGTAATCAATGTCTTGCAACGCATCGGTATCATTCAATTATCGAATATTTATTCTTTATGTATTTATTTATATATACTTATGACTTATGACCGTTTACATCTACTTGTAACCGATTAGCAACCTTCGACCATCTTACGTCAAATCTGTCATTGGATGATTTTATTTTTATAAGATAGATCCCATATAAAAGAAATGTGCAATAGTTGTATTACGTGAACATTTTGCTTTATCTACATAACGAATACGAGGGTGGATTGATAAGTTTCCGGCCTAACCAAGAGATGACGCCACTAGGCCTACCTTGAGGTGACATTCTATAGTACCATCCTTGGATAGCTTGTAGCTATAGTTTCAGCCCGATCTCCTTGCTAGTGTAGGTTTGACAGCACGCTGAACAAGACGCCTCTGTGGTTTTCGTAAAAATGGAAAAGCAGGAAAATCGTGCTGTCATCAAATACTTTTATTTGAAGGGGTTAACGCCGAAGGAAATTAAAAAAGAGATGGACTCAACACTGGGGACATCCTCCCCGTCATATTCAACCGTTAAGCAGTGGGTTTCCGAGTTTAAAAAGGGTCGTGTGAGCACCTCTGATGGGCCTCGCTCAGGACGCCCCGTTGAGGTCACAACTCCAGATATGATCGAAAAAATTCATCAAATAGTGCTGGGAGACCGCAGATTGAAAGTGCGTGAGATAGCTGAGACCTGTAAGATGTCATATGAACGTGTGCAACATATTTTGCACCAACATTTGCATATGGAAAAGCTCTGTGCAAGATGGGTGCCGCGTTTGCTAACAGTCGACCAAAAATTGATTCGAAAAAACATTTCTACCGCAAATTTGTCATTGTATAAGCGTAATCCAAGCGAATTTTTGCGTCGATTCGTAACCGTTGACGAAACGTGGGTCCACCACTACACTCCTGAAACCAAAGAACAGTCTAAACAGTGGATTGGACCAGGGGAACCAACTCCAAAGAAGGCAAAAACAATTTTTTCGGCGAACAAGGTTATGGCTACTGTTTTTTGGGATGCAAGAGGTATTATATACATTGATTACCTTGCAAAGGGTAATACTATCACTGGTCAATACTACGCAGACTTATTGCAACGTTTGAGCCACGAGGTGAAAATTAAACGACCTCATCTGGCGAAGAAAAAAATCTTGTTTCATCACGATAACGCACCAGCGCACACGTCAATCGTTGCGACGGCTAAAATCAACGATCTAAAGTTTGAATTGATGCCGCACCCTCCTTACTCTCCAGACCTAGCCCCGAGTGACTATTTTCTGTTCCCTAATCTCAAAAAATGGCTTGGCGGTAAGAGATTTGCGGACAATGAAGAAGTAATCGAAGCTGTAAATGGTTATTTTGAGGAGCTTGACGAATCAGTCTATAGAGATGGCATTAATAGACTGGAACACCGCTATGAGAAATGTATCAGCCTTGGAGGAGATTATGTTGAGAAATAAAAAAAAAAAATTTTTAAAAACCTTGTTTTTCTTGGTCAGGCCGGAAACTTATCAATCCACCCTCGTACAGTTGAACATCAAATAAAATTAAAAAAAGGACAGACACCTAGCAAAAACAGTAAAATTAAAAAAGAAACTTCGTGGTGGATTAAGCAGGTTATGGTTGCCAGTGTTTTTTTTTTCTCAATTTTACAATTTTCGCTGGGTGATATTAGAGACATAGTAAGATTTTCTTTTTGCGATTTCCAAGAGTGGACTACACCGTTGTCGATTTTAATTTTAATGTATCTCCTTAGAGGCCTTGAGTTCTTAGACAGGAACAGTAAAGTAACCTAACCTAATATAAACACAATATAAGCACAATATAAAGTAAACTAACATTTATTGCGTTTTATTGATATTTTGCAAAACAGCTAGATTGTTTAATGAATTACACCCCAATACTCATTTTGTCTAGGTTAGGTAGATATAGGATAAATAATGTCTAGATTAATTACACAGGTCAACAAGAATATCGACTTTGATAAGAGCGTATGGAATTTAGATAGATTTATCGAGTTGGACGAAAAAAAAAATTTATGGCCTGAAAAAGTTTGCTTTTGAATCCAGGGCACAGTTGATTAATATTTTAGAAAATCTATGGTTTAAATTTTTATTTAGCGATAAATTGAAACAAATATATATGTTTTTATCAACTTTTACTATCATATTAAATTACAAAATAGAGGAAAAAAGGTTTAAAGTGAACCGTATACTTTTTCTTTCATGTTTATAACTATTTTCTCTCACTAAAACCCAAATGTAGTCCCCCACCATATTTTCGTTGTATTAACCTTAATAACGTTGTTCGAAAGCCATAATATCTTGATAAAAACGTTCTCCTTGTTCTTTTGAATACGCCCCTATGTTGTCTTCAAAATTATCTAAATGAACATGCAGCATACCTATGTACTTTTAGAGACATTTTGTAACTCATAGTTTTAAAGTCTTCTATCAAGTTATCAACTAACTCTCGGTAATTTTCAACTTTGTAATTCCCTAAAAGACCAGAAACTATTCGTTTAAAATATTCCAACTTTTTTGTTTAGCAGTTTTTAATTTATGAATCAACAAAAATTTAAGCTTTAACCTTTGCTTCTGACAACTTTGGAAAAAAGTTGTTTAAAACCGTGAAAGCTTCAGATCATTTATCTAATTGTTTTACGAATTGTTTCATAAGTCCTAACTTCAGGTTCAGCAATTGGTACATATCTTACGTTTTGTTTCCCAACACGAAATTCAGTTCTTAGTGGCCATGATTTTTGAATGTACTGTCCCACAAATAGAGATAACACGGATATTTTGTATATCCACCCTATAGTCCCATTAAAAATCTTACCATCTTAAAATCTCCAGTGAACTGCCACTTAAACTCTTGATACTTCAAAGCTTCGAGTAAATTTTGACACTTTCATAGTTTTTTTTTCAAATGTACAAAATGAGCGATTGGAAAAGGTGGAAATTCGTCAAGCTGTTAATAAATAAACGCCACTCACTGGAAACATAGGGCATTCCAATTCCTTGAAACATACCTTTTACGTTGTTACAATAGTACCTCTTTCGAGGTATTTTTAAATATACTAGAACTATTTAATGCTTTTTTCATAAATGATAACTCAGAATAAGTATTTTTACCCTAAATAACACAAAAACAAACTTTATATGGAATGTGGATATTTTTCCTTTATTTTTGAACATAATTTATAGAAAAATCATAAAATAAATTTAGGACAAAGACAATTTTTTTTTGTAGACTTGTGTTATTTGCGTGTAACGTGTACGTATTATTTCTATACATCTTCATATGTATGAACTGATACGTGTAAATAAAATGTGTCTGTATTGTTGAAATAACTGCCTTTTTCTACAGTTGCAAAACAAAACTTGATAAGCAAATTCACCGGAATTGATGCTTGAAAAATAGCATTAATTTAATATTAATCTTGCTTTAATTTTTAAATGCATATAATGATATCAATCATAAATCGTGCGTATTTTAAGTCCACAATATGGAAATTTTAATAATAATCGGCGTAGGTTAGCGTCGCGACGTAATATGAATGGATAATAACTACTTGTACACGTGTGAACTTTTTATACAGGAGGCAACAGCCTAGAGTGACGACCTTGCAAGGTTGACAACACCGATCGCGTTTTTCCATCATTTCGAATAAGTTGTTATAGTCTCATTCTGCACCTAGTACTTATCTATATTGTACGTTTAAATCAATTGTTTTCTTCTACTTCTTTTGAAATTTAAAAGAAAGAAAAAAATATTTTTTTATTGCGTCGAACTTCATCTGTACACATATATAAAAATGAATACAGACATGTCCTTTATGGAATCGTAAACTATGCATTTGATCGTGTGATGATCTTTAGCAAAGTTGTTGTGCATGAGCCAAAGAAGGTTTCTGAGTTGGTACGATCAATTTTCGACAGGAAAAACAAGAAGTATTGTGTATCCCACAGCACTTCAATAAATATCGAATTGAAACGAAACGCTGCAATGTCACAATTTTTTCAAAATGAACAAAATAAATAAAATAACTCAAAATAAATTGAATATTTGTGTAATGCCTTTCCTTAATATTTATTTTAGTTGGTGGCGTAGCAACGCGCGCAGGGTACATCTAGTCTGTATGTAGGGTGTGTTCCGAAATATAACCCGGTATACTGGCCAGTGCTGATGACGTCGTGAATGGACGCCATACTGTTGATTCGATCCTAAATATACTGGCCAGTACATTGACGTCTAATTGACGCCATATTGAGAATAGTGTTTGTGCTCGTTTACAACAATTTTGCTCCAAAAGTTATTAACGTTTATTACAATAAGAAATTGTCCAAACTCTGAAGCACACACGCCCGTTTGATATACTGTTATGACACATTTGTTTCACCAGTACAATATGGTGGCACACCAGTACAATATGGCGTCGATTCATGACGTCATCAGCACTGACCACTATGCCGGGTTATATTTCGGAACACAGCCGTAATAAACCGTTTAGTTGGCGAATCATAATCTGCGTTGTTTTTTTAAAGTTATTTTCTTCTAAATGATGTACCCATGTTTGCTAGTAGTGTAATGTTTATTATTATACATATTTTGATAGTAGGTATAACAATTTGATTCAAGTTCAATTTGAAAATAATTTTTTAAGTTTGAGTGAAAATGTTTATCGTTTTATGAAGATTTGTTGTTATTGTATTTTATTTTGTTTCAGCATATGGCAAAGTATTTCTAGTAAGAAAACGTGGTGGGACGGATCACGGTAAATTGTACGCCATGAAAGTGCTTAAAAAGGCTACTATAGTTCAAAAGAAAAAGACTACCGAACACACAAAAACTGAGAGACAAGTTTTGGAAGCCGTCCGTGATAACCCCTTTTTAGTTACTCTCCATTACGCTTTTCAAACTGACGCCAAACTTCATCTGATATTAGGTAAGTTAACCTATATGTAGTAACTATATTGTAAATTTTGGTTATACATACTTATTCCATGATTCACTTAATTGTACTATGGCCTGTTCCCCCATCAAACTATAAAAACAGTTTTATCTTTACTCTATATCTGCCACGTTCCGAGCTAACCCCTTAATATTCTTGGATCTATTATTTCTTCCATCTTCTCCCCCTCTTACACACCTATTCCTTACGAAATTCTCATTTTTCTTCTTTTTTAACCAATTCTTCCTCTTCTTCAACCTATACCTGTATTATTCCACCTATTATTATTTTCTTATATCCAACCTTGATTGTCATTTCTCCACTTCTTTGCTTCTTTTACCTATCTCTCTAGCATCTTCTGTATTCTTCTCTCTTCCATGGCAATGTCTCCCTTATATAGAGGGTGTCCCAAGAAAGCGCGTTTCCCAAATAATTGCTTTATAGTTGAAGATATCAAAGAAAGTTTCTTACAAAAGTGGTACCATAAATGTATCTCTATATCCACAGAGTGTCCCATTTTCCTGTAAGCTACCTAAGTTCATTTTTTCAAATGGATAGCCCCATTTATTATTGCATTTTTGAATTCAATGTTAAATATATATAATAACCATATATTATGCTTAAAATGCATCAATTTTCATAAAATTCGCACTAAATCAATAAATAGGCTACTGCAGTTCTCTGCCCTATTTTAAATATCTCCGAAACGAAAACACACAAAGGTGTGCTATTTTAACACATAGTTTGTGGAAGAAATGACCTACTATTTCCACTATTAACGCAAACCTGTTCTTTTCAAATTCATTGAAATCTACCACTTCCAAAATAATTTTTTTTGGAACTGGTATAACTGTTTTTTTTAAATGGAATGTTATATTTTTTGGCAGCTCATTTCCCTTCATCTTCTGTTCCAATTTCCATTTCATTTTCTTTCCATTTTTTCCCTCTATATTCTCTAACATTTGCATTGTTCTATCTAATTTTTCCGTCTCCCTATTAAGTTCCACAATGTTTTTTCCTTTCAAATTTTTATTTCCTTCTTCCAGGCTACTCGCTATTCTTTTTTTTAACGTATAAGTAATTCGTACATTCGAATTGTCGATTTAATACACATGAGGTTCGTATTTCGGATTTTAATAATTGTGAATCCTTAGATTTATGCAAGCAGCTGCCTGATATAGGTAGTTCAAAATCTTATGAGCATTCACGTGAGCGAAAAATGGACCTTATTGCATTCATATAGTACATTACGACTAAATTGACTACTGTTAAACAGTGGCGGACTAAGGCTAAAGCGGGCCCTAGGCAACATTGTAATTCTGGGCCTATTTTTCAATCATGACACATACTTTGCATTTGGTGGTTTGGTTTTAAAACATACAATTATCGGATTCCAAAAAAAAAAAATGAAAAAATTATATACATGTACAAAAATTAAATAAACATAATTTATTAAAACAAACAATAATACTTAAACAAATATACCCAGACTGATTTATTTGCCTTTTTTCTTACTTTTAATTCTGCAAACTCGTCAGTTTGTTGTAATTAATCGAGTTATTTAATAACTCTTTTTCTATTACGGGCCCTAATAGGCACGTGCCTAGGTTGTCTAGGCCTTAGTCCGCCCCTGACTGTTAACCATGTGCCTCAATATATAACAGGATGGAGATCCAGATAAACTAAAAAAGTAGTAACGATTCGTATGATATTTAAGAATGAACAACCGAAATTGAACACTGTGCAAACCAAGGTCAAGGTTCATGAGATTCTGAACTAACTGTAGGCATTTCGAAGTGCGTGTTAGTTTAAAAGAATTTGATAGGTTCGTTGAAACTTTTTTCCACGAAATCACAATTAATACAAAATGTAACATTTGATGACACCTGAAGAGTCTTGTCAATTTTGCAAATAAGAATTCATGAAAAATATACAAGACAAAACTGATAAAGATTTAAAAAGGTACAACGTATAGACAAAAAGACAGTGTGTTCTCGATAGCATAGGGAACACTGTTTAGGGGCTATCAACCTTGAGCAACGCACCAAGATAACATTGCTCAGGTGTATGAATGAATGTTAGAGAGTACGTATTAGTGCAGTTAAAAATTATTAAAAAGGTTTTATAACTTTTGACGCTCTATTCAGTGGTGTCATTAAGAATTCTGTAATTGTTTATTTTCCATATTAATTTTGTTAAAATTTTTTTATTTAATGCGTTTTTTACTACATATCACCGATAACAATATTGACTCCAAATGACCTTTTCATGAGAAACATTTTTTCATATGAAAATCGCTTGTTTAAATATTAGTATAAGTATTTTTATTTTAATGATAACTAAATAGTCTGTCGATGGTGAGTTCTGTCAGAATGCCCAATATGGTCTATTTTTAAGGCCGTTGTACATTTGTATATGAACAGGTGCTCTCCCGTACGTTTTTTTTTTTATAGAAAATTTGATTCTCTACAAAAAATGACCGTTTTTCGCCGTTTTCGCCACGTAAGCGGTAAATGCTTGACAAAAGCATTTTGCAAAACTTTGACATTCAAACAACAGTAAAAATAATTTTTGAGTGAAAACATTTTTCAGAAATGCTCTCCTTATCGACCTTAACAAAGAATCTGTCATCCAAAAATTTTGGACTTTGTTTTTCTTTTAGAACAGGAATCGGCAAGTAATTTTAGGTGGGGTCCTAGTGTTTTTGAAAATATTTATCGAGGTCCAAGAAAAAAACATTCATTCCTCTAACAAATGATAAGGGTAGTGCTCAAAGGTCAAACAAACATTTTGTTATCTACAGAAAAATATTTTTTAAATAACTTATTTGTTAGAAATTTTTGGTGGGCCAGTTTTTGATCTCACACGATCTGGACCTGGATCGCGATCCGCCACTTGCCGATTGTTGATATAGAAGGTCGGCAGAAATTGTTGATCTAATTATGTTTGTAAATCCGTCGCTGCTAAATGGTATACTTTCTCATCTATAAATATCTTCATCGTCATCATTAGAAGGTCGTCAGTCCTAAAACTCGTTGGACACGCATCTCCACTCTTTTCAATACTGAGCTAATCTTCGCATTTCCCAAAAACTAAAACAACTCACTCTCTCCTCTACTCCTCTTAACTCCTGTTTTTGCTTCTAATATGTCTCCGACTAGACCTTCATGCCTAAGAAGGTGTCCTACTAATCTATCTCGCCTATTTCTTATTGACTTCCGTAGAGTCGTCTGTTCTCCTTTTCGTTTCTTATCTTCTCTATCCACGGTATCCTCGTCATTCGCCTGTAACACCACATTTCGAATGTTTATGTTAATGTTAATTTTAGTACAACCGGAAGTAAAAATAAAAAATACACCGTATAATTATACAACACGCAACTGAAGTGAAACTTCTTTAAACATACCGGGATAGGGGTTAAGGAATTAATTAATGATATTATTTGTACAATATGAATTTAAATTTTACACTGTACATGCTGGAATTGTCTGTAACGAACGTTGCATTGAAGTGCGCTCACGGCTCAAGCGATCCCTTCTACGAACTCGACTACGTGGCCGAGTAGGGGGGGACATCCGTTGCATGATTTCGTTACATAGCAACTCGCATGAAACGAACTTACCCTACCATGCTTAAAGAAGTTTAACTTCAAAAACTACAAGTTTATGTCAATAATCCAGTTTTACATTAAATACTTTTATCTGAAATTTAATATTTTTAAAAATAATAGACCTATATTTAGTGATCACATTCCGCTGCCACCCAGTGTATGTATATATACCTACAGTATACTTTTACCAACGCTGTACACGGTGTTTTCCAAAAATGTGGACTAGTCACGAAAAATCGCTGAATAGTCAAAAATTTCTCAACAGCAACAACAAGAAAACCAAGGTCGTTTTTGATTAATAAATAAAATGTCAATTATAACTAATGCAGCCATGTAAAATTCACTGGACCGGAGCCGACTATGTATTGAAAACCACCAAATAATACTTACAAAATTCGGGTAAATGACCATCTGGATTTTGCTATTTCACTTTTGTTTTGACCCTTGCGCTTAATAAGCGTCCCATTCAGAGTCTGAAGCCCCCCCCCCGTGCGGGTCCGGGTTGATTGCCCCCTCCCCATTACGCCACTGCCGAGCGTTCCCAAACAATTTGTTCTTAGCAATGAAAATAGTTTTTTGGGTTACACATAATTAAATGCCCATTCAAAACTTTTGAAACTGACCAGTTACGAATTAAATGCTCTTAGCACTCTTATTAGTAAATACGTTGACATAAAAGGGGGCCAAAAACAGGTTTAAGAAAGAAAACCTGCTACCTCAATCATGTATGTACTGCCCAAAGGCTCGTCCGATGCTGATTATGTGCCTTAATGAGGCTTTTATGCTAGCGTTTTGTCTAAATCGCGAAATCGTTTGTTTATTGCAAAAATTCTGGAAGCATTTCACTGTCTAAACATTTTTTCGCGTATCCCATGTAGGAAAGTACGATTGGAATAGGTGTGGGTCAAAGTTGACTTGCCAGTTATATACTCTGGAACAAAGTTGAATTATAACTATGGGCCTGATGTGGTTGCAATGATAAAATCGGGCCTGGCTTGACATACAACCTTGGACCAACGATGAATCCCAAAGAGCGCCAGAGTTGGCCTAGTGACAACCAACTTTCTGCCAAAGCTAAAATCAATGGTGACCCAGAGAATAAAATTTGTAATTACATAAAATATATATAAACCATTATTTTAAATAACCAACACTTATTTAAGGTTGGAATTAAGAGAATAAGTGTTTATTATGAATTATAAAAAGACCAATACAGCTAATTCTATAAAAATTTAGAATAATGGATCGTTCTCCGTCACGATCTACAGATANACTTTTGTTTTGACCCTTGCGCTTAATAAGCGTCCCATTCAGAGTCTGAAGCCCCCCCCCCGTGCGGGTCCGGGTCCGATAATCTGTATTAATAAAAAATAAAATATTTCAG